CATCTGTGGTTCCAATATTCAAAAACTCTGGAGAAAATTCTGACCTCTCCAATTATCGTCCGATCAGTCTTCTTTCTGTTATTAGCAAGGTCTTTGAGTCTTTGATCAACAAATTCCTAACATCTCATCTTGAGTCAAATAAACTACTTTCAGACAATCAATACGATTTTCGATCCTCTCGCTCTACGGCTGACTTGCTAACTGCTGTAACTGAAAGATTTTATCGTGCATTAGATGGAGGCGGTGAGGCTAGGGCTATTGCTCTCGACATATCGAAAGCTTTCGACAAAGTTTGGCATGCTGGTCTTCTCCATAGGCTTGCTTCATATGGTGTTTCTGGGAAAGTTTTTGAGATTATCAAATCATTTCTTTCTAACCGGTTTATTAAAGTCATCCTTGAAGGCCAACACTCTTCTTTATTTCCAGTAACTTCTGGCGTTCCCCAAGGTTCCATCCTGGGCCCTGTTTTGTTTCTTATCTACATAAATGATCTTCCTGACAACCTTTCATCTAAAGTAGCTCTTTTTGCTGATGACTCAACTTTATACTCCTGTCTTGACAAAAATTCTTCTCTTTTCGATCGCCTTGAACAAGTAGCTGATCTTGAATCTGATCTCACTTCAGTAATAGATTGGGGTTCACAGTGGCTTGTGAATTTCAACTCTAAAAAAACCCAATTGCTTAATGCAAACAACTACCGTAATATGGTCAACATTCCTATAATAATGAATGGCAATTCTCTTACTGAGTCCTCCTCTTTACGTCTTTTGGATTATCGCTTACTACTGACCTTTCATGGAAACCATATATACAATCGATTGCTAAATTAGCTTCTGCTAAGGTTGCTTCTCTTTATCGTGCTCGCCATTTCCTTACTTCTGATTCCATTCTCTACCTCTACAAATCTCTTATTCGTCCCTGTATGGAATACTGTTGTCATATTTGGGCTGGTTCTTCTAACGATTCATTTTCTCTTCTTGACAAGATCCAAAAACGCATTGTAAATGTTGTTGGACCTGGACTATCTGCTAAGCTTGAACCTCTTTCCCATCGTCGTAAAGTTGCATCTCTTTCTCTTTTCTACAGATACTATCATAGTCACTGCTCAAAGGAGTTATCATCTCTAGTTCCATCAACTAAAATTCATTCTCGTTTTACTCGTCATTCAGCTAAGTCTCATTCGTTTACTGTATTTGTCCCTGCATGCTCTAAAAACTTTTATTCATCTAGTTTTTTCCTCGCACTTCAATCCTTTGGAACTCTCTCCCATCTTCATGTTTTCCTGACTCATACAACCTTCAACTTTTCAAGTCTTCTGTCAACCGTTTCCTTGCTCTATAACTCTGTTCTTTTTTTTTCTTCCTAGTAACTCCCAACTTAATAGTGGTTGCTTGCAGCCTTGTTGGGAGTGAATGCAAATAAAAAAAAAAAAAAAAAAATTCTAAAAAATATTTTATTCTAACTTTTTGGCATTATCCTTATGATTTAAATATTGTTTTAGTTTTCTTTTCGTAATTATTACAATTATCATCAGCACTTTATTATTTTTTTTTATTAGTAAAACCTGCAAATTGATTTCTACATGTTTGTTTTGATGTATGTGTTTACTGTCCATGTGTTTCAGCGTGTGTCTTTGCTTATTATGACTTATATTATATTAAAAATTGGTGTCACTCCTTTGATCAGATTTCTGTATGAGTGACACCATCCTAATAAATCATTAACTTATTATTATATTAATATTAGTTATTATTATTATTATTATTTCATTGTAATTATTGTAGACATACTTATTATTACTATTACTATAATTTGTATAATTATTTTTTTTATCTTATGTAATTATTATATATTTTTGCTATTATTACTATTATTATTATCATTATTATCAAACTATTGTAAAATGATTTACGGAAAATAAATAGCTTGTTGTTGTTGTTGTTGTTGTAGGTAGTTAAAGAAAAACGACCCCGAGTTTCATCCTTATAGCGATCGTCAGATATTATAAATAACTTTAACGACAAAAAATTTAATTACAAAAATTAAGTGTTTTAGTGACATTTCTTGTAGTACGTAAAGTTAAAATAAGTTGTAAAACATCAAAACAGCTTGTACTAACAAATTTTTTTTTTTTTTTTTTTTTGGTGATATTAGACCGAAATATCACGAAAAAGAAAAATTAATTAGTACGATGCTGTTTTGATGTTTTACAACTTATTTTAATTACAAAAATACATTGCAGTGTCCGCTTTGATGACGTTAAAGTTGTTTGTTTTCATGGCGACATTTTGATACCAGCTCATTTCTTTTGTTTAATAGTTTCATTTTTGCTGTTATTATCTGATACTTTTCAGTTAGGCAAAGGTTGCATGATTTTCCTCGGGGTTTAAATGGTTGCGTTTTGTCCATTATTTTCCATGTTATAATATTTAATGTTATATATTATAATTTGCATACCCCTTTTTTTCTAATTTCCCACATTAACTTGTAAAGCTCTGTTGAATTTGATTTTCTTTCGTATTAAAATGAGATTTTGTGTTTGTACCAACGGTTTTAAAAAGTATTCTTTGTTAGTCCAATATAACTGAATCCGCTATCTTCTGGTGAAGTTTTTACGTTACTGCAGTATACTATATTTTTTTGGAGGCATTTTTCTCCCAAAAAGCATTGTAAAGTTTGCCGACAGTTGCATTGTTGGCTGAGGTGTTAGTTCCAGATAAATTTTTTTTTTGTGAGCAGTGATATTATTTTTGATGTTAGGAAAACAGCTGTAGCTTACTTTTAAGTTGTTTTTGTTGAAGAGTTTATAAAATTTATTAGACTTTGAAAAGTGTTTTTTAATCTTTTTTATAAATACATTTTTTCGATTTTAAAATTGGCTGAGATTGCTTGTGGGTTTGCATTTTTTTTTTAATTTTTTTAATAAAATTGAAAAAACAACTTGCAACATAATTTTGTTTAATATTAGTATAAAAATATACTACATAGTGGGAGGACGAGGTTAGCAATACAAATTGAATATTTGTACTTTACGTTATTTTACTTTTATATAAAAAATTCTTTAATTAGGATAAAAGCTTGATTTAATTACAAATGTCTTGACAAACGCATGAAAATAAAATATAGCAAAAACATTTGCTAAAAAATATAATCTTTTTTATACTAAAAAGTAAAAAATAAACTTTTTAATTTAAATTTAATAGTTCAGTAAACTAAAGATTGACATATATGTTTCTATAAAAACCTTGTGCAGACCTGTCAATCTTTAGTCTACTGAACTATTAAATTTAAATCAAAAAGTTTATTTTCTACTTTTTAGTACAAAAAAGATTATTTTTTTTAGCAAATGTTTTTGCTATATTTTTCCTTATTATTGCCATTTTTATTTTTTGTTATTGTTATTTTATTGCTAAAATAATTATTATATTTTGTTTGTACAATTTTTTTTTAATAATATTAGTGTTATTAACTAATTATTATTACTTTAAGTTGCAAAATCAATGTCATTTTATTATGACACTAATTAAGATTCTTTAGTAATAATAACTTAATTATTAATGTTATAATTATTTTTGCAATTGTTATTTATATTTTTTATAATTATAAACCATACTCGGTGTAGTTAAGGCACTTTTAAAATATTATAGTATGAATGATATTTTGTTGACTACGACATATTTCCGTTAAATGGTGTGGTCGGTGAGTTATGAAAAGACGAAAAAAATTAAAATAATAAATTTTACAGTATCATAAAATAGTAGCGAAAAAAACTAGATCGTGCAATATTTAAAAAAAAAATCATCTTAAAATCACGATCGCTCGTCCAAATTTAAATAAGATTTTATATTAATACGTTTTTTAGGTGAAATGAACATTATAGTTAAACAATATAATCTGTTCTGATCGTTTAATGGCAATTTTTTATAATTATAAGCTCTTTCTTGGTCGGAATTCCAGCATCATTTGTGAAAATAGATAGAAATATTATGTTTTGACAACTATGTATAGTTAATATAAGTCAGAACCGATTAGAACTAGGATCAGTAGTAAATTAAGAAACTTTTTTAAAAGATTTTAACTAAATTCATGTTAATGCTGATGAGCAGAATTGATCTAAAGACTCCAAAATAGTGTTCTTTAGATACATTATTACAGGTAGTAAAAAGATTTTGAAAATTATATATAAAAAAGAAAAATTTCTTTAAATATCATAAAAACCTTAAGTAAAAAAAATTATAACATTTAAAGATCTAGTTTGGGCATAATATGCTGACAAAACAATGCTAATTCCAAATAAAAGTATTCAAATATTTTGTAAATTGCCTTAACTACACCGAGTACTATAATTATTTTTATTAATGTTTTTTTCTTTTTAAATAATTTTTTATGTAGTTATTATATTAAAGTTAACAATATAGTTATTTTTTTTTAATCTTTTTACAATGCATAAATTTAATGGTAAAAGAAATCGAATATTAATTACTTCCTTACGCTAATTGCAAGGTCAAGGTCAAGAACAAAAATTAATTTAAGAGGAAGGAAAACGTTAATAATTTAAAACTTCCGAATCGAAAACATGCATTAAAGAACAGATTGAGTATATCATTTATGCAGGGAAGAGTTGGTGTATCGGACACGCCTACTGCTGTTACTTTATCCAATAAAAACACATTTTATATATATATATATATATATATATATATATATATATATATATATATATATATATATATATATATATATATATATATATATATATATATATATATATATATATATTAGAAACGGACTGTAGAAGAAATTTAGATAAGTGTTTTTACTAACTTATTACGCATTGTAAAATAATATTTTAAACAGCCTTAAAGAATTTTGCGGTTAACCATTTAATGCAGCTACGACGGAGACTTAATATTTAGTAAATCAAAATGTTTTTGTCTCACCTTATCGATGTCAACATCAATTAACATTGATAACATAAAATTACAACAATCCTTTTAGCATAATAATTACATTGACGTGTAACATGCGTTAATATATATCCTTAAAATAGAATAACATGTTCAATAGAACGACTAGTTCGTAGAAGTTCATTTAAATACTATGTAGACGTCAACTCGTCGCATTTTTCAAGTAACGGGGATTTTATTCACGAAAAAACTTTATGTGCAATGGTAACTTATGTTTATTATCTACGTATATTTAGCTAAATATTTTTTGTTACAAAAATATATATTTATTATTATTATTATTTATAATCTTGTTGCTGTTGTTGCACTTATTTTTTAATTAAGATTTTAAGTCCACTATCGAGAAAAAAAAAACTTTTTATTAGATTATAATTAATATAAAAAACTTATATAAGATTAGATTATAATTAACATAAAAATTAAATATAAGAGGTTGAACAAAAATCTCAAAAATTGTTGTAATTTTTATTGTTTTTTTCTCAGCACAGCTTTGTTATTTAAAATAACATTTTAACAAACTCCGAGTAATCCGAGTAAAGCGGTCGTCACGCACACATACACACACGCACACGCACGCACACTAGTCTTCTTAACGGACCTACGGTTTAATTAATTTTCACAGTCATTGATAAGTACCTAGGTTTGATTTTGTTTATCAAAAGTGAAATGACATTTCATTTTAACTTATATTGACAATATTGACTTGTTATTTTATTGGTATAAAAAAACATGACGTTTTAATTGACGTTGCCATGACATTTGTCATTTTCATTTCTGAAATTATATTATGTTTTGTAATTTTAAAATGATCAACTGTAAAAATGAAATTGCTGCAGTATTTCAAGTTTTTCCCAAAACTGAGTTACAATATTGAAAGCAAACCTAATTAATTTAGTAAATATATAGAAGTATTAAAACCAAAATGCGTTTAAGACGTAATAATGTTTTTTCTAGACGTTTTGATAACTATAAATCGATATATATAAATAAATATATATATATATATATATATATATATATATATATATATATATATATATATATATATATATATATATATATATATATATATATATATATATATATATATATATATATATATATATGTATATATATATATATATATATATATATATATATATATATATGTATATATATATATATAGCAATGAACTTAAAAAAGGTGATCGACCAAAAAACTAGGAATTGGGTAATAAGACAAAAAGTAAAGACTTTTTAAACTTCAAGAAAAACTCTAAAACATTTTAAAAGTCAAGAGAAATTTTAATGAATCAACGAAATTTTGTGTTAAAAAAGTAAGTTTATTGAATGTTTTAAGTAAAAAAAAATTAAATGCCACAAAAAAAACAAATTTTTTAAGTGTCGCTCCACTTAAGCCTATTTATCGCTCCATACACAATTTATCATCATTAAAATGACTTTTTTTTTGTTTGTATAAAAAAGGATAGTAAAATTTTTCTTATCTCGCGATACAGAATCTTTATTTATATAATTTACAATGAGACAAAACATTAAAAAAATTTTTTTTTAAACTTTTTGTGTCAAATATATTTTAGTAGTTCTCGTTATAGTTTAAAAAAAAGTTTAAATATATAAAACATACAAAATAATTATCGACCTGACATTTATTGCTGAAACCTTAAAAATCTAATCACAACCATAAATTTTTTTATTCAAATTAAGTCAGGGCTTTTCGCAGCTCACGACATTATTGAAATTTTGTTGTCTTCAAACCATTATTTACATATTTCTGGGGTATGGCACGTTGCACTTTTTTGTAGATATTATTTTATCAAATTTTTTGTAGTTATTTTATTTTATCAAATATATCGATTGAGGGAAGAAAAAAATTATCTAAAATTTCAATTTAACTAACACCATTAAGTAGACTAACAGATAATCGATAGCTTCAAAGTTTGGTATAGTTCATGTAGGCCCAAATGCCAATACGTGGCAATACTGCCACGACCTTGATTAATTTTAATGCACAATTCGAATTAAATCTCTCTTAAGGTAAATGCCGTTGCATAACACGATTTTTTTGAATATCTACCTCAACATTTATTTCGTCTGACGAATAATTTTTCGCCAATCCTATCGGGCCAATATTTTTGCATTTAACAAAGATTAACTGGTGCAATGATTGCACCAGTTAATCTTTGCTTTTTTCTGTTTTTTTGAAAGTTCTTATTGCATTTAGATCGCCGCATATAATTATTTCTATGAAGAAGTCTTTGAAACTGTTTTTACACTCTTATTTATTCTAGAAGTATTGTTTAATTTCCGGCAGAGAGCGTTTAATGATAATTTTCTGTCATGTTTCATTAAGCGAATTCATAAATGTTGTTTTCTTTGTGTTGTTGTTGTTGTCTGACCAGATTGTCGTCGATCCTTAATGTCAACTGTTTTAGAATAAGGAATATGCGATATTTAACTAATTGGCTATTTGACGATAAAGTCGTTCTTGGTTTTGAACAAAAATAGATTCGTAAAGTGTTTTTTTAGAGATTTTTTGCCGTGATTTTGGAGTTTCATGCAGAATTTCTTTGCTAATTTTTTATCTTTTTGTTAAGTAATTTATTTGTATTTTTATTAGTACTATTTCATAATAAAAAAATTTAGAGTTAGTAAATAAAAATAAATCCTATACAGATGACGCTTCCTAATGCTGATAAATACTGTCGTAAGTTAATTCGATTCGAATGTCAGACAGGTTGTTCAAAACGCCACTGTAAATGTTATTTTCAACTGTGAAGTATCAAAGATCACCAAAAAATCTCTATTATATATATATCTACTATAGCATATTTATATGCGCAATTGCTCACTTTTTTTGCTAGCCTAAATTAAGTGAGCGTTTTTAGAAAACGATGAGGGAAAACGAAGAATAATGAATGAAAATATTACTGACCCATACCAAATCCTCAGTCGATGTAGCAGCACTCCGCTGCGAGTCAGGCTATTTGTCAGTCGATGTATGTACTGAAGCCCCTAGCAGCAGGCTATTTGACGTTAGGTGAGTATTACATCATCATGCTCACCTAACTCAGCAGTATAAGATATATGATTACAAGTTTTTTGAGTCATATATGTAATATGTGCTTTGTTGTGTTTTTTTCAAAGATGATGGCAGTCACTAATATAATAGCCACTACTATCGTGATTTTAAAATAAATATACAGGTATATATATATATATATATATATATATATATATATATATATATATATATATATATATATATATATATATATATATATATATATATATATATATATATATATATATATATATATATACCTGTATATTTATTTTAAAATCACGATAGTAGTGGCTATACTGATTTATACTAACTCAAATGTATTGTTCTTAAATACTCAATAAATTTGTACAATAAGATAGTTAAGATAAAAATTTTATACATTTAAATTCCACTTATGGGAAAAATCAAGCTTTTTTAAAACAATTTTGTTCCGTAGAAAAGCTCCTCAAAATCAAGTATATGACTTTCCAAAATTAGTTAGAGAAAACGGTTGCTGAATTAGATCATTATTTCTTAAGTTATATTTATTTTTATCTTTTAAGTTATATAGATTATGAAAAGAAATAGGAGATGTGTTGGTTTTACATTTGTACATAAAACCAGGCTTGTGGACCTGACTTTTTTTTACGGCTCGGCTACGGCTCCTAAGAAATATTCGGCTCCGGCTCGGCTCCCGGCTCCGGCTTCCAAACTTTTTGAACAAAAATCGCATGTTTTGGAGTATTTTTTTGATCACATTTGCTAGCGCAAAACTATACCAATTACAGCAATTAATTTTTTACCAACTCTCATGATTATATGTTTTTTGTATTACTATCACCACTCTACTACCGAATGTTATATTTAAAAAGAAAAATATTTTGAGTAAATAAACACTTTTTTCTATATATTGTTTACCCAAAACTAGAGGTTTTAGTTAAAATTTTAGTTCTAATTCTACCCAGGATCACGGTATCTAAAAAAGACGTCTTTTGAACGTCCCAAAAACATTCAAAACGTTCAAAATATATTTAAAAGACGTCTTTCTTACATCCTCACTGAGTTCCGTGTCCACTGGATACCCAGTGGACCTAGTATAGACGTATTTTGAACGTTCAAAAGACGTTCAAAACGCTCCAAAGACGTTCAAAAAACCTATTTTGTATGTCCCGTTCCCACTGGGTAAAACATGCAATCGTTAAATTCAAAACGATAACAAATTCAAAAAAATGAAAAATAATTTAACTAATGCAAAACTACAAAAAATATTTATTTTAATCTAATGAACTTAAAGACAAAAGTGCTTTTTATTTTAATATTTTTCATTATTTCATATAAATAAGCAAACATTTACGCTATTCGACGATATCAACTTTTGTTTTTGACAATTTTTTTCCTACTAATATCCACTCTCTAATCAAATCTTTAGCTGTATTATTTTGCCAGTCTTACGCAAATATCCTTTGCTGATTCCTTCAAATTTTTCAATGGGATGCAATCCAATCCATCAACTGTGTGCAGATTGATGGATTCAAGCAAGTTTAGGTATGAATTTGATGTCTCTCGAACTGTACCACTCTTTTTAGAATAATGACAAGAAGCAACATTAGACCAGAATCAACAGGGGACATCGTGACTTCGATAAAATTGCAAAAGTCTATCATGCAAGTACTCTTTGATGAAAATATCCGAGTTTAAAGTTGACGATGTGACAAAAACTTGAGATCTCAAACCACAGCTGCATATTGCATGCCAAAACTTAATCTTTAAAGAACTCTGAAACTTTATACCTTTTGGGTTGTTCTCTGTTCGATAAGCCGGGGTTTTGCGTGAATGATCGTCGAATACTAATTGCTGCTTTCTTATTCTTAAAGCCACTCTTTCTTCCAGATCCTTTTGCTTGTTCAATAGATAGAGAGCTCATGTATTGTCTTACGACTATATAAACAATAGTTTTGCTAGATTAAGATCCTTTAGCGATTGAAAGTAACAATGCAGAATGATTTTGTAGATAGTTCTGCAGAATTTTTTCCGTTTTTCTAAATGTTTCAATGACATTTTAATTAGGAGAAAAATTTTGACTAGTTTGTTGATGTTTTCAATTAATTCTGTAATTACTTAATGTAATTACGCGAAAAAAAAAGTTAGTTGTATGTTTGTG